TATATATATATGTGTATATGTATTTATTTTTTTTCTTCCATTTTGTGCTATATGCTCCATCAACAATATAATGGAAAGAAAGAGTAGGATACCTAATTGCTAGTTACCTTGTCAATCACATAAAATAATTCAGAGGGAGCTTCTCTGCAGTAATACAGTCACCTCGACAGCGGCCTGGGTTTCTTATCTTTGCTCTATTTGAGCAGTGTAGCCTCTGGCTGTCTCGAGTGTACAACACTTCCTGGAGTGTCAGCTGTCTGTGTTTCCCATTGCGTTGCGGCCCCTTTATTTAACCCCTATGTTGTTACAGGACTCAGCATTGATGTATTGCAGGGGTGGGCAAACTCCGGAACTACAAATTCCATGAGGCATTGCAAGATTAAAACAAGCCACATGCATGGCCAGAGCCAGATGCATGGTTAGGATTTGTACTTTCACCACAGTTAGAGGGATGAAGTTTGTTCACCCCTGATGTAGTGGGTCAGAGGACTGAATCACAGTGCGTGGTGGTGGTGGGGGATACATAAGCACTCGAAACTCTAGGATGTGTTTGAGTGCTGAAGTGTCAGAGTAGCCCACCAACTATAAGCAATGTTCTGATCACATAGTGGCATTTGTTCATTTTAAAGGGAATTAAATTCAGTGTAAAGATCCACAGTCGTCATGGGTACAGTCTTGTAAGTTTTTGTCTATATTGTTATAAATGTATAACCTTCCATAAATCTTTTCGGCAGATGCTTCTTCATCTCTTCAGCGATGCAAATTACAACTTGCTGGGTTTTAATGCCACATACAGCTTCTCCTTGTGCCCGCAAGGTTGCTCCGGACATGGAACATGCCAGGAAAACGGCCAGTGTTTGTGTGACTCAGGATGGGGAGGAGAAGGTTGTCAGGTGCCCGACTGCAGCACGTACTGTCATTACCATCATGGGATTTGTAACCAGGTACTTATAACGAGATGTCCTAAGCTTTATATGAATAGTGACAGAGGATGTCACAGGTCTTCAAAGAGTGCTGCAATAGAACGTTTGCAGATATTTGTGTTACCAACTTTGCTCTGTGAAGGACATATTTTAAAGGGAAGGAATAGTGGGTTTTGTATGTGTTATGGTCAGGACTAAGAAGTAAAAAGTTAAAGAAAAAATGTTCTAATTTTTAGGGGGCTTTAGGGAGATACAAATGTGGGAGCATAGATTTGCAAAGAGGCTGTAAAGGCAGAGATATCTAGAAGTCTCATGTAACATGCCCTAGTCTCTCACTCTTTTCTGCAGCATGTCCTCAGTCTCCAGCCACATGTATAGCATGCCTGCAGTCACTGACCATCTCCTGTAGTTTATTTGCAGCCAGTGACCATCTTCTGTAGTATGTCTGCAGTCACTGACCTTCTCCTGTAGTTTATTTGCAGCCAGTGACCATCTTCTGTAATATGTCTGCAGTCACTGACCTTCTCCTGTAGTGTGCCCTTCGCTCACTGACCAGCTCCTGTAGCGTGCTCTTCGGACACTGACCATCCCCAGTAGCGTGCCCTTCGCGCACTGGCCATCCCCTGTCGCGTGCCCTTCGCTCCCTGGCCATCCCCTGTCGCGTGCCCTTCGCTCCCTGGCCATCCCCTGTCGCGTGCCCTTCGCTCCCTGGCCATCCCCTGTCGCGTGCCCTTCGCTCCCTGGCCATCCCCTGTCGCGTGCCCTTCGCTCCCTGGCCATCCCCTGTCGCGTGCCCTTCGCTCCCTGGCCATCCCCTGTCGCGTGCCCTTCGCTCCCTGGCCATCCCCTGTCGCGTGCCCTTCGCTCCCTGGCCATCCCCTGTCGCGTGCCCTTCGCTCCCTGGCCATCCCCTGTCGCGTGCCCTTCGCTCCCTGGCCATCCCCTGTCGCGTGCCCTTCGCTCCCTGGCCATCCCCTGTCGCGTGCCCTTCGCTCCCTGGCCATCCCCTGTCGCGTGCCCTTCGCTCCCTGGCCATCCCCTGTCGCGTGCCCTTCGCTCCCTGGCCATCCCCTGTCGCGTGCCCTTCGCTCCCTGGCCATCCCCTGTCGCGTGCCCTTCGCTCCCTGGCCATCCCCTGTCGCGTGCCCTTCGCTCCCTGGCCATCCCCTGTCGCGTGCCCTTCGCTCCCTGGCCATCCCCTGTCGCGTGCCCTTCGCTCCCTGGCCATCCCCTGTCGCGTGCCCTTCGCTCCCTGGCCATCCCCTGTCGCGTGCCCTTCGCTCCCTGGCCATCCCCTGTCGCGTGCCCTTCGCTCCCTGGCCATCCCCTGTCGCGTGCCCTTCGCTCCCTGGCCATCCCCTGTCGCGTGCCCTTCGCTCCCTGGCCATCCCCTGTCGCGTGCCCTTCGCTCCCTGGCCATCCCCTGTCGCGTGCCCTTCGCTCCCTGGCCATCCCCTGTCGCGTGCCCTTCGCTCCCTGGCCATCCCCTGTCGCGTGCCCTTCGCTCCCTGGCCATCCCCTGTCGCGTGCCCTTCGCTCCCTGGCCATCCCCTGTCGCGTGCCCTTCGCTCCCTGGCCATCCCCTGTCGCGTGCCCTTCGCTCCCTGGCCATCCCCTGTCGCGTGCCCTTCGCTCCCTGGCCATCCCCTGTCGCGTGCCCTTCGCTCCCTGGCCATCCCCTGTCGCGTGCCCTTCGCTCCCTGGCCATCCCCTGTCGCGTGCCCTTCGCTCCCTGGCCATCCCCTGTCGCGTGCCCTTCGCTCCCTGGCCATCCCCTGTCGCGTGCCCTTCGCTCCCTGGCCATCCCCTGTCGCGTGCCCTTCGCTCCCTGGCCATCCCCTGTCGCGTGCCCTTCGCTCCCTGGCCATCCCCTGTCGCGTGCCCTTCGCTCCCTGGCCATCCCCTGTCGCGTGCCCTTCGCTCCCTGGCCATCCCCTGTCGCGTGCCCTTCGCTCCCTGGCCATCCCCTGTCGCGTGCCCTTCGCTCCCTGGCCATCCCCTGTCGCGTGCCCTTCGCTCCCTGGCCATCCCCTGTCGCGTGCCCTTCGCTCCCTGGCCATCCCCTGTCGCGTGCCCTTCGCTCCCTGGCCATCCCCTGTCGCGTGCCCTTCGCTCCCTGGCCATCCCCTGTCGCGTGCCCTTCGCTCCCTGGCCATCCCCTGTCGCGTGCCCTTCGCTCCCTGGCCATCCCCTGTCGCGTGCCCTTCGCTCCCTGGCCATCCCCTGTCGCGTGCCCTTCGCTCCCTGGCCATCCCCTGTCGCGTGCCCTTCGCTCCCTGGCCATCCCCTGTCGCGTGCCCTTCGCTCCCTGGCCATCCCCTGTCGCGTGCCCTTCGCTCCCTGGCCATCCCCTGTCGCGTGCCCTTCGCTCCCTGGCCATCCCCTGTCGCGTGCCCTTCGCTCCCTGGCCATCCCCTGTCGCGTGCCCTTCGCTCCCTGGCCATCCCCTGTCGCGTGCCCTTCGCTCCCTGGCCATCCCCTGTCGCGTGCCCTTCGCTCCCTGGCCATCCCCTGTCGCGTGCCCTTCGCTCCCTGGCCATCCCCTGTCGCGTGCCCTTCGCTCCCTGGCCATCCCCTGTCGCGTGCCCTTCGCTCCCTGGCCATCCCCTGTCGCGTGCCCTTCGCTCCCTGGCCATCCCCTGTCGCGTGCCCTTCGCTCCCTGGCCATCCCCTGTCGCGTGCCCTTCGCTCCCTGGCCATCCCCTGTCGCGTGCCCTTCGCTCCCTGGCCATCCCCTGTCGCGTGCCCTTCGCTCCCTGGCCATCCCCTGTCGCGTGCCCTTCGCTCCCTGGCCATCCCCTGTCGCGTGCCCTTCGCTCCCTGGCCATCCCCTGTCGCGTGCCCTTCGCTCCCTGGCCATCCCCTGTCGCGTGCCCTTCGCTCCCTGGCCATCCCCTGTCGCGTGCCCTTCGCTCCCTGGCCATCCCCTGTCGCGTGCCCTTCGCTCCCTGGCCATCCCCTGTCGCGTGCCCTTCGCTCCCTGGCCATCCCCTGTCGCGTGCCCTTCGCTCCCTGGCCATCCCCTGTCGCGTGCCCTTCGCTCCCTGGCCATCCCCTGTCGCGTGCCCTTCGCTCCCTGGCCATCCCCTGTCGCGTGCCCTTCGCTCCCTGGCCATCCCCTGTCGCGTGCCCTTCGCTCCCTGGCCATCCCCTGTCGCGTGCCCTTCGCTCCCTGGCCATCCCCTGTCGCGTGCCCTTCGCTCCCTGGCCATCCCCTGTCGCGTGCCCTTCGCTCCCTGGCCATCCCCTGTCGCGTGCCCTTCGCTCCCTGGCCATCCCCTGTCGCGTGCCCTTCGCTCCCTGGCCATCCCCTGTCGCGTGCCCTTCGCTCCCTGGCCATCCCCTGTCGCGTGCCCTTCGCTCCCTGGCCATCCCCTGTCGCGTGCCCTTCGCTCCCTGGCCATCCCCTGTCGCGTGCCCTTCGCTCCCTGGCCATCCCCTGTCGCGTGCCCTTCGCTCCCTGGCCATCCCCTGTCGCGTGCCCTTCGCTCCCTGGCCATCCCCTGTCGCGTGCCCTTCGCTCCCTGGCCATCCCCTGTCGCGTGCCCTTCGCTCCCTGGCCATCCCCTGTCGCGTGCCCTTCGCTCACTGGCCATCCCCTGTAGCGTGCCCTTCGCTCACTGGCTGGTTTTCTTTAGCTTCATGTACACCGCATATTACGGGATGTCAAGGGCTGCACAATATCTCATCTACAAGTAGTGCTCATTTACAAATTGACTTCCCCTTTCCCCTTTTATGTCTTGGTCACTGTTTTAACATGCAGTTGTCAATTTTTAGGAGACTCAACGCTGCGTCTGTTTTCCCGGTTACATGGGGGAGCAATGTGACCTATCCCTTACTGATAACCAGGGATCCGGAACCTGGTACAATGTGAGCAGTCAGGATCCAGACTTTAGCCCTCGCACCGCTGCTGCTGGTGCCTTTCTGCCCCCAACCAATGCTCTTTACATATTTGGAGGTAAGTGTGAGTGCCAATGGAATGATGTTGCTAATTTAAATGGACAAAAGACACAAACTCATTGAGCATGACATGTATGGACTTGGTGATTATCTGATGTGATGCCAGCATGTTTGTGGCTAGGCTGGGTGAGATATGAATAGAAGATGACCGATCACACCTAGTTGTGCACACATGATTAGGTGAAGGTACCCTATGTACTGTAGAGACTCTCCGATAGCATAAGGACTAGATAGCTGGTACTGAAATAGATGTCTTATATAATCCATGAAGCTGCACTGCATGAAGGGCATAGGCCTTTTTTATAGCTTTTCATAACATGTATTGCAAAATGTTCTTTACAGGTTTGGATCTGAATTCTGCTCTTCAAGATATGGCCATTTATAACTTCACATCGAACACATGGGAGAGAAAAACATACTCTCCTAGCCCGGTATGTTTTACTGTCTTTTTGGGCATTATGTGTATAAAACCCAATCAATTGTATTGCTGAGGCTTCTCTGTCAAATGACATGAAAGTCACTCTGCAAGGTGTAGAGCTCCTATGGTCTATATAGTGGTGTCACAATGCTAGCTAGATAAAGTCAATTGGAGTAAGGAACGAAGGCAACATCCAATGAAGCGCTGCCACCAACACTGCTTGTGCCCTATCTCTTTAAAGGATTACATTTGGTGGTCACTATTACTATTATCGTTTTTGAGTCCATATCTAATTCTCCTAGGGGTTCCTCTCTGAATAACATCTCAAGCCCTGATGAAGCATTGGCTCTTTTATGCTTGTGTATCTCCATCAATAAAACGGTTTTGGGCTCTTCTTCATTGGGTGGCACCTTCATTGGTTGCTTCAGTTGACTTATCCAAGGCCCTTTCTAAAGTTTGGGGTCCTTTTGGATGGAAGTGCAGCCACTACTAAGAGATTAAAGGAAAACCTATGGGGTTAAGGCTTTTCCACATAGTTCTCCTTAGGGTAACGGGAGGACACAAACTAGCGTCCTCCCGTCACCCTAGGCTCAGTATACCGTGAGCTGTAGCTCGCGGTATACTGAGACGCTGCAGTATACCGCGAGTTGCTGCTCGCGGTATACTGAGACGCTGAAGCGGATCCCCACAATTATGTCTGGATCCGCCCAGCTGCGTGACTGACAGCTGCCTCTGCCTATCTAGAGGCAGAGCCAGCTGTACCCTCCCCCGTCCGTTCCGCCGGGAGGGGGGGGAATCCAGCCCCTCCCCTGTCACGGCAGAGAGCCCTGACAGGATCGAGAGGTGAGCGAACGCCGGTACAGTCTCATTGTCACAGGTCGGCTAGAACTATGAGGTGAGTGAAAAGCACTCACCTCATAGTTCTCCTTATAAAGGAGAACTATGAGGTCAGTGTTTTTCCCTATAGTTCTCCTAAGGGTCACGGGAGGATATATACTAGCGTCCTCCCGTGACCCAAAGCTCAGTATATCAGCTTGCGGTATACCGAGACCGCCACAGCCGGGACGGATCCTGACATTACTGTCAAGATCCACCCAGCTGTGTGATTGACAGCTGGCTCTGCCTATCATCGCTGGAGAATCGGAGCGGGGAAGGGGGGAATCCCTGCAGGGAGCCGTGAGTGACAATCACAACTCTCTGCAGGGAGATAATCGAGAAGTGAGTGACGGTATGTGTTCGCTCACTTCCCGATCTATTGAGCCGACATGTGACAGTTTCATTGTCACACGTCGGCTTGAACTATGAGGTTGAGTGAAAATCACTCACCTCATAGTTCTCCTTTCAAGCTTCATGAAAGAAACACATAGCAAAATCACTTGACATTTATGATTTAAAGTCCACATAGCCTCATTCTATACGTACAGCTAGATAGAGTGGCATTGATGTCACAAGACTGGCTTAACAGAATTACAGATATTTTGCCAAGTAGACCGCACGCTTATGTGTATTTGAGTTCTGTATTCGATGAGCTCAGCTTTAAGTAGCTACACAGTTGTACAGTGGCAAAGATTTACAAAGTCATTGATTTATGCCCTGATGTCTCATTCAGTCTGCTCGACATTCCCATGTGGTGGTGGAGTGGAATGGAACACTGATTCTATTTGGTGGGGAGTTACCTGGAGGAAAGCTGACCGATGACACCTGGGTGTTTCTGCCTTTGGAAGAGCGCTGGATGAATCTGACCGGCTACAGCCTAATAAAGCCCCCTCCTCTGGCTAACCACGCTGCGGCAACTGTGGATAACTGGTTGTACGTGTTTGGAGGTAAATCAGCTTTCCTTACTGTGTGAAAACCATTTTCTTGTAATCCCTTTGCTTCTGCATTTCAAAGGCAATACTGTATCTCTCAAACTAGAGCTTCATAATAACCAGTTAAAGCTGAGCGCTGGGCACCAGGCACCAAATCTTTCATCCAAATATATTTTTCAATTACCAAAAAAGGATATAAATCTACTTTGCATGCAAGAAATGCTTTTGCAAACCTTGTAAAGTATTGGTGACATCATCTAGGTGTGGAAACAACTCATTGATAATGAGAAGAGTTGTCAACTACTCTCATTATCGATTAGTTGGTTGGATCGCCTAGCTCTCTTCTCCACGTTGGGAGGAGGACACATCAAGCGGAGCAACAGCCAGCCTGCTATTGGCTATGGCAATTTAAAATGGCCAATAGCAAGCTAGTTATTGCACCAGCCCACTACCCGCTGTATTTACATTCAGCTGCCGTCTGCGGAAGCTTGCCACTGGCAGCTATCATTCCCTGGCTGAAGCTATTCAAGCACCATGTGATTTCAATACAGTTGTAAAAAAAAAAAAATTATAAAAGGTGGCAAAAAAGTCCGTTTCGGTTTCAGCCTGACAAATTCTGCTGTGGGAGGTGCCATTCATTTGATCGCCCACACTGGAATACACACAGTAGCGCAATGCTGTGCATTCCAGTGCAGTGCGATTGCAAAAAATTGTGCATGCAGTTTTATTCTGAAGTAAACTTTATGTTGGTAACACTGCATTTGTGTATTTTAAATTAAGGATGGTATTTATTTACATTTTTTTTTTATATCCGATTTAATCTAAAAAAAATAATCGCCCAACTAATCGATTATGAAAATAATAATTGGTTGTAGCCCTAACATCATCACGGTGGTGTAGATAACCTGTGCATAGAGCAGAGCTGTGGGAATAATCCAGCAGACTCGCACATTACTGGCTGTGTGCAGAAAACTACAGAAGGGGCAGAGACAAGACCAGGCATCTTGCACAAAGAAAGAGAGCAGCAGTGAGCTGTCTTTATTACAGGGAGCTCCGGTACAAACGCAATGTTTCACACTGGATTATTTCACCGATCTGGTAGAAATACCCAAAACACACCAAGTGAGAATACAAATGCCTCTTGTATTTGACAATATTTGCTTATCACGGAGTTTGCCGGTTTTTTTTTTAAGCATTGTTGCAATCTAGCATATATACTTTTTGCCTCTGTAATTTTGAATGTCTCTTTTATATGTGAAGGAAGCGGTGCCCACAGTGGCTCCATTTTCACTTGGTGGCTTCCACCGTGTTTCCTTCCATGGCTTTTTGGCATTATGGATTGACCGCACTACCTTTGCTGCTGAAACCATTGGCGTTTGAGCTGCAGTGTCTTGCAGAGGAAGTGTGTGGGGCACAAATTAAGGAGGATTTAGCTTACTTGGAGAGGAGAAGGAAGGGTTTTTGTTTTCTTTTGAACTTTTAGGCATGTGCATCAGATAGTGATTAGATTTGGGACCTGTTTAGATTGTCCCATAGGAGCTTTTAAATGTATTTCATTCTACATCTACTTATTAAAGAGACCCTGCCAGGTCCTTAAACATATTAAAATGGCACTCTCCTGCAATCAAAGAGGTATTACACTCACCTCTTTATCTGGCCCATCTCACCCACTTCCCCTGTGTTCCGGCTCCGTAGTCTCCATCAGTCTCTTCAGCATTAAGTGTGGGCTCGGGATGTTCGCAGCTGCACGTGCCAAGCCCGCCAGAAAGCTGACAGCGCACAGCGCCAATCACAGGCACTGAGACATTTCCCGATCTCTGCAGCTGCGGATCGGGAAAATGTCTCAGTACCTGTGATTGGCGCTGCCAGCTTCCTGGCGGGCTCAGCACGTGGAGCTGCGAACACGCCCGAGCCCATCCTTATTCAGCATTCAGTACATGTCGGGCCACCCAGATGATTTCTACAAAAGCCCATTCACATCAGGGTGGTTGCGGATCAGCTCGGTTACTGCACTGATTTCAACCCTTTCATTGCCATTTTGCATTGAAAGTAAAAAAAGTTGAA